AAATTTATTTATTATTTATTATATTAAATAAAGATTGTTACTGGAGGCAGCCACGGAGGATTCACAAATACGATATCAAGATAGTGCAAAAGTATTCTCAAGCGTTTACGATGCGAGTTTAGTTGGCGTTGAAGTTGTCATGGAAGTAATTAAAACGCATTACGATGATATACTGCACCGAAAGTAAGTAAATAACTTTGTGCAATAAAAACTCTAATACTACAATATAATAAATACCGTTCTTGTATGTATGTGTTTACAGTTTTAATGATTCTACCAAAATCGCAAATATAGTGAACGCTTTGGCAAGCAGATTATCTACTTATGATCTCTATAATCAGGTAATTTATCATGTCATTTTAATTTAATTTTATTTAATCAAAATTGCAAGAGAAATATCTATATCAAATTCTAAAAGATTTTTATAAGAAACAATATAATTAAATAATTTTTCTGTATATACGTGGTTTCTGTATATACATTTTATTAAATATTAAATTTAAGAAAACAATTTAATAATAAAATAAAATAAAATATTTGTAATTAATAAAGATTTATTTAAATTTTCGTAAAAGACATCAATTCTTTAAACTTATTGAAACACAAAACTTTTCTGTGTTACAATTTTTAAATTTTATCAAATATTTTATACAATATAAATAAGACAAATCCTTAAAATATAGTTTAGAAGAATTCTTTATAATTAATCAATTAATATCTATTCAATAAAATTTATTTTTTTTATTTGTAGTACCAAAAATTACTCGACTGGCTGGTTCAAAAAGAACCAGAATTCAAGAACTCCGTCACTTCCTATTTGGCAACGGCGAAAAATGAATTTGATTGGTATGAAAGAAAAGTTCCAGGAATTTTTAAAGCATTGGACAATCTATTTCCCAGCAATACATACCGCTTACCAAAAACGCTCAATCCAAACCTGTATAATATATCTCTCACACCTTACATAAAAAAGGGTACCTTCACAGGGAAAGTGAAAATACACATGACAGTTCTGGAAAATACTACTTTGATAGCTCTCAATGCTCACAAACTCAACATCTTAAGTGTCAAAGTCTTCAAAAATGACTTAGAAATAAATGTGCAAAATTATACGACAAAACATATCCCACAACAACTAAGAATATATTTATCCAGCTACATACATACAAATGAAAAGATAATAGCGGAAATCGAATTTAATGGAACTCTTAACGATGAAATGACTGGATTTTATCGTAGTTCGTATGTCGATAGTACCGGAGTGCAACAGTAAGTACAACATCCATTATTATAATATATAATAATAAATAATACATATATATCTAATATAATTTATTTAAAAAAAATTAAAACGTTTTGTAATCTCACTTTTCAACTTTTTAATTGAACTGTTATTACTTAAATGTTGATGCGTAGAAGTATTTAATAATATTTATAATTAATTATACTAGTTTTCAATATTTGATTTATTAATTTTTACAGTTGGCTAGCTACAACACACTTTGAGCCTACGTATGCTAGACAAGCTTTCCCCTGTTTCGACGAACCAGCGTTTAAATCAAATTTCTCAATTAACATTCAAAGGCTAAATAATTACATCTCGCTAAGTAATATGCCACTTTCAACAAAAACTAAAGATCCAAAGTAAGTGTATAATAAATGAAAATATATTTAACAAACTTTTTACTACTACTGCATGTTTCGCAGTATAATTTTCAAGTATAAAAAAATACCTAAATCAACAACTTTATATTATTATAATTATTTGTTATTTAGGAACGATAATTATATGTGGGACACATTCGCCACTACCAATGTCAGTATGTCAACATATTTGGTTGCATTTGTTGTCTCCAAATTTAAATCAGCGGTTGAGCCTGAAAACGTAACTTTCAACGTATGGGGTAGACCGGAAGTCGCGGCATATGGCAAATACGCTCAAAATATCAGCATAGCAGTTATTAACGTATTGCAGAATATTACGGACATTGATTATGCTTTACCGAAGCTGGACTTAATAGGAATTCCAGATTTCTCTATGGGCGCAATGGAAAACTGGGGCCTTGCTACTTTCCGGTAATAATACTTTTTCTTAATAATTATTGAAATAAGTATACGTTATCTATTCAAATTTAAATTTTATGTAGCTACTTTCTTATACTGTATAAATAATCTAATTTTTTTTATCAGCGAATATGGACTTTTTTATGACGAAAAAGAAACTACAGCTACATATGAAAGATATATAATTACCGTAATAGCGCACGAACTTACTCATATGTGGTTTGGAGATCTCGTCACTTGCGACTGGTGGGATTATATTTGGCTTAACGAAGGTTTCGCGGAATACTTCGAGTCGTTTACATCTGATCGAGTACGTAATATTTTATATTTGAAATACAACGAATCATTTTTCTTTAAAAATTCGAGAAATCAACTAACATTTAATTCTCTTTTACTTTAAAAATTTTCTCAAATTTTTAAAAGAACGTGCCAGTTTACTGTAAAAAATTCAATTGTACAGTAATTTTTTTAAATAATATAAAGAACGCAGATATTATAAATAACAATACACAAGTAACAAATAATTCTCAAATAGTAATAATAATTTCTATCTTCTAGATATTCCCAGACTACAAATTCATGGATCAATTCGTGGTTTACGAGATGCATTCTGCTCTGTCACAAGATGCTTCGATTTCAACACATCCAATGACAAATCCTGTTGAAGCACCGGACGAAATAGCTGGTATTTTTGACTACGTCACTTACGAAAAATGTATGTATATTATATCGTATAAAAATTGTAATAATTATAATATGTAATGTATAATATTAAACATATACACACTTATACAAAATATATAATTGTTATTATGTAACAAATTATTATGTATAATTGTTATTTGAAAATTTACTATTATAAACTTATTATTCCGAAAGCAATTAAAATATCATTACGATTTTGTTTTTCAATTATAAATTACTTTATTACTAAATTAAGTAGTTTATATATGTACATGTATGATATTCAAAACTTAACAGTCTTTTAAATACTTTAACATTTAATATTAAAATATTTACATATATATATATATTTTTTTTTTATTTTAGCCGCTAGTGTTTTACGAATGATGTTTAACGCATTCGGCGAAGAAGCTCAGATGTTGGCACTCCGTAATTATTTAACGAAACGAAAGTATCTTACAGCACGTCCTACAGATTTATGGGAAAGTTTCGAGCCATTTGTATCGATATCAATTGACAATAGAAAGGCAAGTATTGAGGAAGTCATGAATACTTGGACAAATCAACCAGGATATCCCGTTGTAAATGCTACGTTAACTAACGAAATAGTAACGTTTACTCAGGTAACATTATATAGCTTTTATTAAGTTCTTCTCTAGCATTTTCTCACATCTATTTCTATAATTCTATAACTTAATTTAACGTGTTGTAGGAACGATTCTTGATAGACAGAAATACCTCTGGCAATGAATTTTATTGGATACCAATTGATTTATTCGTTTCATCCAACCTTGAACCCATGAACATGAAAACGTATGCTGATGTATCTTTAGAAAACAAAACATGGCTAGGACCAGAACCTCGACAACTATTTATTAATTCTGTTAACGACTGGTTTATCGTGAATTACAAACAAACTGGCTTTTATCGTGTTAATTATGACATCTCCTCATGGCATACGTTAATTAACAAGCTAAATAGTGAAAGTTTCGAAGATATTCATGTCTTAAACCGTGCACAAATTATAGATGATCTCTTTAACTTGGCTCGCGCTAATTACGTGGAGTACAATCTACTGATAAAAGCATTGGCATATTTGGAAAACGAGACGAATCACTTACCCTGGAAAGCATTTTTCAACGGCCTATCATATATCTATAGAAGATTCGAACTGTCGGAGAATCTAAATCAGGAAAAGAATTTCCAGGAGGATCTAAATAAATACGTTTTGAAATTATTGTCTAAAACGTACGATAATGTAGGATTCAGTGATCGCGATGATGATAATTATTTAAATAGGTTACATCGGGAAATGATTCTTCAATGGGCTTGCAAATTAAATAAAGCAGAATGTATACAAAAATCTACAGACTTATTTGCGACTTGGCGTAATAGTTCCGAACGGTAAGATTCTAACAAATTTTGGGTAATAATTATTACATTATGACATTTGTTTTAATCCTAAATATCTGACATACTTTTTCACATGTTTTCATCAATTATCTTGGTTCATATAAAAATCAGAAATATTCATTTAAAAAATTTTGAAACATATAATTGAAAATGATGTGTATATACATGTTAAAAATAAAAATTTTTACCTAAAATTATCTTGGAAAGTTATAATATAAAAAAATTCCAGAAAAGATTAGAATTATAAATTTTTATATTTTTAAAGTTTAAATGAGTACGTAGAGACTAACAAATCTGATAGAAAATTAAATTATCAATGCATCTATTATTCATATATTAACTTAATTATAAAATTAAATTATAGTTTACTTTATTGTAAAATTTATAATTTTCATCTAAAATTTATAATTTTCATCTAAAATTGTCTTATTCATAGAATTTCACGTGATGCACGACCAGCTGTTTATTGCACCGCAATAAAAAAAGGAAGTACAGATGATTGGGAATTCCTGTGGACTCAATATCTACACGCGAATCTTCAAACAGAGAAAAAGATCATTATAAATGCACTCGGATGCTCGACAAATAAGACGGTGCTCCAAAAGTAAGTTTCCAAACATAAAAGATGCAACAATAACATAACTTACACAAAAAAAAAAGTTTTGTTCTTAAATATAATTTTAAAATGTTAATTTAATTTTAATGCTCTTAATGCTTGAAATAATTTATTTTACAAATTAGCTTAAAAGCTTAAAAAATTATTTTTTAACTCTTGTTAGTAAACATATTTATGACAATAAAAGTAAATGTATGCCTTTTGTTTTTATATTGTAAAACAATGTTAGAATTATAACAGTCATAATAATCTTCCTAATTACTTTGATCCCTGAGCGATTATATAATTACTTAACTTACAAACAATTTATTTAACAGTTACTTAGGAAAAGCCATTGAAAAATATGATGCTGCAAATGCCGCCATTCGTCGACAAGATGTTTCAGCAGTGTTTACTTCCGTGTACAGCGCAGGTCCAATAGGAGTAAATGTTACCATTGACTTTTTAACAAAAAATATCAAAAAATTGCATCAATAGTAAGTATCATTACAGCGCTATCAATTACAATTGTAACAATAAAATTCTTATGCTTGTACGTTTTTATTACAGTTTTGGAAAGTGGGACAATATCGCAGATATATTTATTAATGTGGCATCGTATGCATCGAACGACGATCAATATAATCAGGTATGATTCAGAATTCTCACTTAAAGAATTGAAAGTGACAGGACGAAAAAGAGAAATTTAATCAAAGATTTTTTTTATATTAATTAACGTGCTTATCAGTATTACAATATTAAAATATTCTACACAGCGTATTACTTGTTATTATTATTATTTAATTATATAAAAATACGACAGTTATAAATTAGATAAATTTATTGAGAAATAGATTAAATAATAGTGATATATTCTTTTTTTCTAGATGGTATACTTTATTGAACACAATATACATCGGTATCCTCCGAACATCAGATCGAGATTAGTTTCTGCTCTTAATATTGTGGAAACTAACTTATTCTGGTTCCAAAATAACAGTGACAAAATTAGGGAATTAATAATTGATTCGGAATCTGGAAATAACCCTGATAGTTCTACCAGGTTAGAATCACTGAATGTCGTTCTTATGACTGTCATTGCTTTAATATCGTACCTTTTAAATTATCACTAAAAAATTAAATTGAACAGAAGACAAAGATTGCTCTTTAAAATTTTTATCGCGCAATAAAAAAAATGTACTCTTAATCTATACTTTTTTTATTTAATGATTTGATTTGTTTTAAAGTTAGGAATAGTGAAGTTATATTTTATTTATATAATATTTTAGTGTATATGCAAAAAAAATTGTATTTTTAATCAAGTTTTGTAATTAAGTAAATAAATATAAAATAACCGAAAATAAAAATAACAATGATGTACTATTTATTAAAAGATTTAATATTACAAAGTACAACCCATACAGTTTCTTTAAATCAAACACACACACAAATTTTTATGCTTTGGGATAGTTCAACCAAATGGATGTTTAAATTAAGAATGTGATTACTTTCATTAAAACTAAATTTTTTAACTGAACAGAATGTTTCATTTAAAATTAAATTTGTTTCAATGAAACAAATGTAAATAGAATTCTCGAGTCCAAACACATCTTTTTCTCTGTGCAATTGACAACTTCAACTTGTGACAAAATTCAATTATAAAAATTGTTTATACAACTGAACAATACACATTCCTTGACAACCCTTTTTGTTTTCTCGTATTAATATAGATGAATGTAACACATGAAAGATGTCAAGAAATTATTTTCTTCAGTTAAAAAATTTGATTCGAATTATACATTATTTTAGATTTTAAAATTGCTGCATTTCACACCAGATATTGATTACGTGTATAAAATGCGTAACGTTATAAATTCTCAGTATAATTATATTTCGCTCGCAAGTTCTTCTTTCGTTGTACTTTATTTTAAATTAATATTATATTTTTTAAATCAAAATCGTATCGATCAAAAATCAATTTATATAAATACAATCTTTCGCACTGATACTCAAAAATGTTCTAATTGTAAGTATTGTGACGATTTTACTCTTTTGGTCTGCCGACCTTCTTTATCTTTTTTTACACTCGATTGTAGCGTCTCATTAGTACAAATCAATCGTCATAAGACGAAAATTTTTACTGCGACCTGACAATGTGGTCGTTTGCGTAAATATACTTAACAATAATTATACAGAGAGATCTGGCGACAAATTCTTTGTGTAGAGTCTACTTTTACATTTAATATTCTAAGGATACGTCTATCGATTATACAATATTTTTCTGTAACCAATTATAAATTTTCACATGATGCTTATCAAACCATCTTATATTAGATTCCGCATTCTCTATTACTTGGTGCAAGGTTCTTGTCGCGTTACTAAATTCATTCAGATGTTCTTTTACAAAGTTTATCAGCTAGAAAAATAACATAAAAAATGAGTATATTGCAAAATTATTTTTTTTCTAAAAAATAAATAAAATTTTTATGGAAACTAATGGTTACCAATTAATTTGTCGAATTTATCAAAAGACAAAACTAACATTTATTTTTCTTATTTAAATTATTTTTAAACTTATTTTAAATCACTTTCAGTATATATCCACATTATCATTTCTCATAACTTATTATATCATTTTTTTCACAACTTACATCTTTCAGTTCGTATCTTGTATTTATATTTCCTGCTACCGATGGTATGATGGCATTCATAGCTGATATTGAAGATGATATTCCGAAACTGAAAATGATAAAAGATTTATGTTATATGAAATTTCACAAATAAAATATATTTTGATCTAAAATAAAATTCGTAACAATTTAAATTATAATAGTAAGAATAAGTTGCTATCTTCCCCTAACTACGCGGGATTAATTGACTTTTCTAATTAATGTTCTGCTTCACTTCTAGGTTTTCTGTGATAGTAATGTACAAATATATGTATAAAAATAAGGGAATGCTTACTATTTCCTGAGGTCCATCCATTTGTTTCTAATATAATCAAATGTGAGTGACCGTCCGGCAACGTTGCCGGCAACCGATTCGAAAACTCGAATAGCATCCTGTTTTCTAATTCCCGAATTTTCCGTCACAGCCCAATCTAAATATCGACTCAACAACCATATCTCTCTTGTGCAGGATAATGCCTGCAAAAGCAGATCCTTCTCCGATCCAACGTTGGCTGCTAGATACCGTTGCCAAGCGAATTTCCACTCGCTTTGTCCACCCACCCGAATGGCCGTGCAATAAACCACACTCTTCAAGTTCGGTGGAATCCTAAACATAAAATTTGTAATAACTACATAAATATATGTAAACTGCTTTATTAATTATTTTCCAAAGATAGCGAAAAATTTACAGTATTGCAATTAATATATTTAACACAAGCAGGATGAATCAAACAACTCAGAACTGCGATCATGTGCATTGAAAAATGTAACAGTGTGTACCAATAAATAATTTTGTTTTAAATTATATGATATGTGATATTTCTATTTACGGATTATTAATATCCGGATTAGGAGTGTTACGCCAATATTTGAAGTATTGCACAGCTTTCATAACGCAATGCTCATGGTCGAGATAACATGCCCAATTTAAAATATTAATTCGATTGAAGACTGTCATCTGAGAATCTTCCGGTTTATCAACGAAACCGACTTGCTTGTATGCATTATCAAGTAGCTTTAGCACGTGCAACTGAAAGGTATTAAACAGTATTAAAGATTAGAATTAATAAGATATTATACATACCTATATACTTTATACTAATGTCATGAAACATCAAATTAAACAATCATTGAAATTTGTTTCTCACAGATATCTATTACTCTTGATCGACGATAATTTACCCTAAATTTATCGTAACCTCGTGATTTGATTAACATATTGTTGAGATAAGTTAGGGCCCGGAAAGTTGCTTTCCAGGGCAAATATTCGGTTTCATGGCCCAAATAAGATGTGATATTGAAAGCAATATCATAATCGAGTTTGCCAGCTCTAGCCAAGTTAAGAGCGTCATCAACCAATTGTGCTCGATTAATCACTGAGATATTTTTGAAATTTGTAATATTATTCAATTGTTTGATTATTAGTTTCCAGTTTGCCGTATCATAATTCACTCTGTAATATCCTGTCACAAGCGCAATATTGAATATTATTATCGTATTTATTTCTTCATATTTTGAATAACAAATAATTCTATTACTTTTTAAAACATTTTATCGGAAATATATATTTTTCTAAAAGTATCAGCAACTTTTATTTCAATTTACAATTGCTTTTTAAATGAAAAATTAATGTTATTACCAGGAGATTTACTCTCCAAATATTTCTAATAAATTTAAAACCAAAGTTTCACAGAGATATTAATAGAATTAGTCTAAATTACAAAATTGATAATAATAACTCTCGAGAATGCCAAAAATAAAAAACAAATAGAGGGCTAATGAGAGTTTTTAATCGCGGTAATTCGTGTCGAAGATCCCGTGTCGGTAGATCTTCAATCGTTGCCACTAGACTCGCCAACCTTGTGTCACGAATTGATGGGGATGGAATGAGTGGTCACTCTCTCGTTTAGCCATTAGGAACTATTCTATTTTGTATGGTTCAGATATACTGAAGATGGCTCGAAGTGAAGCCGAAACGTCTGACTTATTGTAACATGAGAAATAAAAATTTTTTTATCGTACAAACTACCGCGATTAAAAACTCTCATTAGCCCTCTATTTGTTTTTTATTTTAGTCTAAATTATTTGATAATTAATTTTTGAAAGAAATCAAAGCTAAATAATAAATTAGGGATTATAAGAATATTTTTTTATATTTGCCACAGAAAAATAATTACCAGTTTCTTGTACGTTAAAAAGTATCCATTGAGATGGTTTCACATCTAAATCGTTAAGAGTGATCGAACGTTCTGCTTTCATCCATTTTACAGGTTGAGTGTTATTGAAGTTTAATTGCTTCTCAGTCGTATAAGTAATTGGTATCCACCATAATGGTTCCCACTTATCAGATGTGATTCTCGTAGCATTATTGTCAAGCAGAAAACGTTCCTGCGAGAAGTAGAAAGGTGATGCATACAATGCTATATAAATCGCTTATATCAAACAATTCATTAATCTAATAACTATATCTTATTAATAGCGTTATAATGTAATATTATATGTATATATTTCATGATATTTTATGAGAACAATATCTGTGTATAGGATAGCGAAAATGTTGATTAGAGAATTATTACGAATAAGACACTTCTATTTATTAAGTAATAATTGTTATTGAAATAAGTCATGCTTTATTAAATCATCATTGCATGTGTACTTATTAGCATACCTGCGTCAGTATAATACTACCATTGCTATAGTTTCGTAAGACAGTAACTACGGGAAAGCCGGTTTGCAGAGTCCAAGTATCCATTATTTTCTTAACAGTTATGTTCGGATCAAGTATTTTATCTTTATGAGCTTGTTTAGTCAAAGCGTACCATAAATCATTTGATTCGGCACTTTGATAGGCTCTGAAAACACATAGAATTGTTAATTATTTTCGAATTACATAAAAATATATTTACATTTGTAACATTGCTAAAATATTATTTACATTATTTATAACATTGCAAAAATTTATTTACATTTGTGATATGATCAAAATATTACGAGTATTTACTTTGTATAATACTCATGTTGCAAAATGATATGGGGGGGGGGGGGGGGAAAAAGGGGGGGGGGGCAGTATTATTATTTTTAAATCGTTATTTATACAAAAAATTTTCTAATTGATCTTTACTTACTTTTCATTCAAATAATTAGTCAAACCCTTCTTAAAAACATCTGTTGTGAGAAAATGATCCATCATTCTTATTACGGCAGAACCTGAACAATTTCAATGTAATATAGTTACACAGCTTTGTTTAAAATCGTCATAATTCATAGATCGTCATAAATTGTACCTTTTACGTAAGTAATGGCGTCAAAGATTTCATTGATTTCATCCGGATAGTCGACTTCAATAGATATAGGATGGGAAGATTCTAAAGCATCTAAAGTGAATGAACTTTGAAGTTCATGAACAACGTATTGTTCCAGCACCCTCCACTTCGGTTCTACCTGCATATTTCATAAATATGAAATTTATATTATGATATAATTTATAGAATGGATTCAAACGAGTTCAAAGCATTTTACATGTTTTTAAATTAAATTTTTAAAAACGTCAATTTATCAGCATACAGTGTTACAATTTGACATTTTGTACAAAATGTAATCCCGTATGAAATAGCTTACCGCATTCGTGCCAATGTATTCCATGTAACTAGCGAAACCCTCATTTAACCAAAGATCTGTCCACCAACTTGCAGTCACTAAATTCCCAAACCACTGATGAGAGAGTTCATGTGCTAATACTAGAGCTATTAGCTGCTTACTATCATTGTCCGTTATACCATCCTCCTCTTTCTGGTACAATAATGCTTTCTCTCTAATTTGATAAAATAGCTTACTAGATGTTTTCATACCTCACTTAATTATTAGCGTCTTTTATATATATTTATTAATATAACTTATAATAATACAAGTATATATAAACTAATTCAAAAAATTTTATAAATTGCCTCTAACATTCCACCCAAGTATCATATTTTTACTAACATTCGCATAAATTATCTTCTAAAGTAAATTATTTATATGCCGACAACATTTTCTGTTAAGATCAAATCAAGTCTACCAGTAACAAAATATATTGTCTTATTACTTGTTGTTTTAATGTTTGTTGATTAATTATGAATTAAAATGTAGAAATCAATATAATTATTCCATAAATTTATTTGCAAAGAAACTTCTATCTCTGTGATATAAGTTAAATTATATTAATAAATTAAAATAATCAAGGTGGAAAAAAAAAATTTTACTATTAAATGAATACGTACGTTTATGCAGTCAACGAAATCGTAAATCAAAATGCTTTTTATCAAAAAATATCGATTTAGTAAAAAAACATGAAAATGTTCACATCGTAAAGTATAACAAAATGATAATTGTCAAATTGCCTTTATCTATTTCATATATATAAGTAATTATGTACGTATTTAAAATATCTGCAGAATTCAGAAGAATAATGTATTGTGAAATATCTGAATAACTTTATTTTTATACCGCAACACGTTTTGAAATTCGTTCTGTATTATTTAGAATATTGGGAAATGAAATTAATAATATTCTCTTACTAATAATAATAAAATCAATGTAAAATTTCGTTAATTCGCACTCGATAATCTTACCTAAACATCATTAACCCCCAATTTTCCATGGCGCCAGCTTCGAAGTCTGGTAACGCGGCTATGTCCATCTTCGGCAAAGGGTATTTGATTTTAAAGTAGTCCTCATAGAATTTAAGCATTTTCGGGCCAATACTCAAGCTATATTCTGTTTGAGCAATAGCATCAGGGCGCGCCCAAATTCTAAAGTCGCCATCTTTTGATTTTTTTACATCAAAATCGAAAACTATGAAAGCCACCAAGTACGTGGACATCGGTACCGAACGCTCGTAGTGATCCCACACGTACGTATCTAAATCGGGCCTGAATATTAAACAAAATAAAAGTATATTTTAAACTCTCTAATGAACTCACTTAAATAATTTGTCCTAAAATTAATATCTTTAAAAAAATCATACATCCCTATTTTAAATTATTTCTTATCATATATGTTTTTACTTATAAATGATAGAAAAATTCTATCTCTGTGAACTTATTAATATCAAATGTGCATATATGATATACATTAGACTTTTATAAATTTTTGTAAAATACTTAAATAACTATATTAATTGTGTTAAATTTTATATTTCAAATTCTTGGCTCTAAATAAAAATCTAAATTATAAAGAGAGAACAAGTTGAATAAAAAATTTAAGCGCAATCGCGGAATTATTCCAAAAAATATGAATCAAATTTACGAAGAAACACAGCTGCGCTAATCCAAAAATATAATACAATTACTCACAGTGGCGTCGTTTTTCCTTTTTTGGGCATATTTGAAATAGATGTCATGTTTTGGGGACGCGCTATGTTGATCTGGAATTTGGCTTTTAAAGCTGGTTCGTCGAAACAAGGGAAAGCACGGCGTGCATCCGTCGGTTCAAACTGAGTCGTAGCAATCCATCTATAATGCAAAAACTAAATACCTTTGGCAAACTGTCGACAATCCCTACCTGAAGGCGCATGTTAATCAAACACGTGACCACAACGAGATTATTCAAAGAATAGTTATTCTATAATTAAAACACTTTACGATAATAAGTATGAAACAATGTTAGAAATCAATTTTAGCGAAATAATTTTAAGAATATCTTTCTTCCATCTTTTTCTTTAGGAAATGAATTTAAACTTGTTTTTTAACATTCAAATTTATCTACTACTACGGTTGTAACACAGTGCTTCTTCATTTAATTAAGCGTTATATAAATTAAAGTTTTAGGTTCAAAATTTTTTACTAATAATTGCAGTAGCAAATAAAACAACTTTCTATTGGAAAATCGGTGCTTAAATTTAATAGTACATTTAATTGAATCAATCAAAACACAAAGCAATAAATTTAAATTTATATCACTCATAAAGTTTTATATTGTTTACCTTGTCTGATTATCAACTGTATACGAGCTTCTGTAGAAACCGTGCAAGTCGTCGTTCAAATATCCAATGAACTTAAGATGTATGATGTATTGTTTGCCTTTTTTCAACTTCGACGTTTTAATCACGTGAAATTGTCTATCGGCATCGTTTTTCTGCTCCGTAATCCCGATTACCGTAGTCTTATTGTTGCTCTTATCGTTAGACGAGTACTCTCTGATACTCGTAAAGCTCTCATTAATCTTTATGTCGACGGCATGTAAGGTAACATTATTCGTATCGTTTGTTACGTTTACCAAAATTTTGATCTAAACAAATCGATAATACTTCTACTTTTATAAGGCAGCTTTTTTTATAAATAAATTAATAATACGTTCAATCTTCTTCAAATTTTAATACTAAATTTTAATTATGTGTAAAGTTCTTAATTATTTTATTATAGTGCCCAAAGATACTTCAGAATTCTATATAGTATATATTATATACAGAATCCTATATAAACATAATGAATAATTTTATTGCAACCGTGACCGTAGAATCTCTTTAAGAATTCTCTTTAAGACTCTTAGCGCCGTATTGGATTATGACGTCATAAGCGAGAAGTATACATGTATATACAAATTTCTTGCATGCTATTTGTAAATAAAGAGAATTGGAGTAAATAAAATAATGAGATCTCTTTAAAACACTTGAAAAACGAACCGAAGTTATTCTTACCCTTCCTAACAGTCCAATAGTCGTAAAAGGCACGTAAAGTTCATTTATCTAATGTTTACTTAATGACAGCTTATTTTTACTTCACGTGCCTTTTACGACTGTTTACTGACTATCAGGAAGTAAGGATAGCTTCAGCTCATTTTTCTAAGTGTTTTAAAGCGATCTCATTAGTTTGTTTATTCAAATTCTGTTTATTTAAAGTCTCATGCAAGAACTTCAATATGTCATTTCACGCTTGGGTATGATGTTAAGATCCTACACGACTGCGGCGACTAGTCAAAAGCCTTAATATACGCGGTAAAATGTTCTCCTTCGCATGCAATTCGAAAAATTGTCTCGAATCAGAACAAACAATTCACAGAAAAGACAAAAGCAAAGCTTACAGGAGTTAAGAATGGCACGCATGATGGAATGGGGTAATTTGTCTAATTTTCCATAAATTTAGAATTTAAATGACAGCATTGATTACTAAAAGCACGTTCGTAAATACTACTCGTATATCGTTATAACCTTATTTAACATTTAGTGAACAACAAGAATAAAATGATATATGGAAGCACTTGGATGTTGTTTCCGAATGTAACTTGACTCATTTCTCTTTATAATAGTAAAAATACTTAAATATAAAATTGGGAATTAAATACATAGAAAAACATTATGTTTATAGTTCTCAATAAGAAGTAATCATTCATAACGCAGTTTAACTGATTTATCTACGGATAATTGTAACAAAATCATAACATCAAAAAGAATATTTTGATAAGTGATATAAATAAATAAAAAAGACATAATAAAATAATAAATCATTATGAAATAATTTTTAATATAAAAAATACAATTCTATAAAACTTTAAAAAATTACATTACGATAAAAATCGCATAATACAATGCCAAACTTTTAATTCTCACATATATTCTCACACATTCTCACAATTCTTTTAAAATTATTTTTCTCTTAAAAAGAGATACAAATACAGATATTTGTTAGAATGCATTTATCGATACATTCATGTAACTATTTTTTATTTATTACAAAAAAATAAAACAGAAACATGAGACTAGCCAATGAGAGTACAACGCAGATCGCAAAACATAATTTTAACAATTATAAAATTGTTACTTACATTTAAATTCTAAATACAAAAATTCGAATTTTTGTATCTAGAATTTATAAATATGTATCAATTTTATAATTATTAAATTTATTGCGCGTTACGATCTGGGTTGTACTCTCATATTAGCCTATCTCATGTTTTTGTCAATTTTGGGAGTCTATTAATACTTTTATAACAAAAAATGTTACCAAATTAAAAAGCATTACCTCGCCGTGGAAGGTGAAGTTGCCTTCCCATATGAATGGTATCAGCCATAATTCGTATAAATCCGGCACAATGTTTCTCGGTAATCTAATATCTATATCTTTCTTTGTTGGTATCACCGGAGAGAAAATATCCGTTTCCGTGCTTGTCGAAACTTGCTTCTCATGACAAGGTGCGAAATAATACACTAACAAACCAGTAGCGGCCAAGCTGAATAGAAAAAAAACGCCCAGAAAAGAAGCACAATACCAGGGAATCGTACAGCCATTTTTGCGTACGAACGTAGTCGTATTCGTGTCCATCGTTGCCCGACCCAGAACCCTACAAGACTGAGTCATATACATAACTAGCAAAAAGGCAAAAAAAAGTATACACGTACATCTTTAGTTTTATCGCTTTTGCAGTTGTGTGAACTACACTAATATTGCCCAGCATAATTAAATATAAATGAGTTAACATTATTTTTTATCTACGCCACGTCATCAAACTATTTGATACTTACCTCGTTATATCTTTATATCTATTCTCACCTTGTTTTTATATTTATTTTTATTTAACCACATTAATAATTTTAGTGAGCTTTATGATAAAATTATATAATCAATTTTTACTGTGTGTGTGTATTTTTTAAATATTTACTTACTTTCTCTTGTAATCTTAATTTACCGTTGTAAATTTTCTATTGTCATACTTATACGTTAAATACATTAAAAAATCTAATAAACAATAACTGTTTTTAAATTTTATTAAAAAATCGCATCTAAGTTTGTCAAAAACTTTATTATTTAAATCAAGATTAAATTTTCCGCGAAATAAATACATTTATAAAATCGATGATTAACGTATTATAGTATTTTATTTCTTGCATAAAACTTTTAAGTATCAAATATAACATTATCGTAAATGCTACCGTAGAAGGTTGCACATACGCTGACGATTTCCATGAATAGTTGTGTGTGTGTGTGTGTGTGTGTGTGTGTGTGTGTGTGTGTGTGTGTGTGTGTGTGTAAGGTAATAAATACAGACTTCTACAAGTGCAATAGTAATTAACGGTTGCTTTAAATGTACATACATATACATATAGACAGTAAATCTGCATGTCTTTATATTGTATGCGTATTTATTATTATCTATGCCAACGAATAAATATAAGAAGGAAAATAAAGCCACGAAATAAGCCAAAGATTCTATTTAATTTGCTTAGCAATCATACACACACACACACACACACACACACACGAGCCTTTTCTCTCTAATTTTAAGAAAAATAAAGAAAAAAAGGTGTTCCAATATAGACACTATAATATTCGCTTTCACTAATGTAGATTAATTTTAATCTCGGTTCAATTTACTCTTCATTTTTTTCTAATTCTTAGAATTAGTATCTTTTGTAATGAAATAGCATGCAAAAGTCAGTCGAAACAATTGCAAAGCTAATGCAATATCATTATTGCGAACCTAATTGCTGTGAAAATGCTATACCTACAATACCTTCTTATGTAACGACACAAAAAGAGAGGACATATTTGTTTAAACTTCAACTTTAATACTTTTAATACTTATTTTAAAATTTATAATATGCTTTAACTATCTATACAAAATGTTTTTATAAAATGTTACTCAAATATTTATATAAATAGTATTACTTTTTCAACATTCTTCTAATATCAATATACAAAGAATGAATATGAAATATATTTTTTATCAAATACGAATATTCGTGTAGCGATTACATCATCACTATTCAGATTGCACATTTTAGTTGCAAAAGCCTTTAAAATATGAAAATTCACGAGAATTATATATAATTAAACGTACATATCTGAGAGTAGAATAAGCTATCCGGTGAGGAAGAAAAAACGAAATCACAGAGACACACGAGACATCGGGTGGGTCGGTCACGCATAGCGAGACAAAGCGTAACGATTTTCTCAACGCTTTATAAATAGCATTTATTTCACAGCTCATATTTTCTCGGACAAATAGAAAATGCAGTCTGTATACAATAGCTACGCGCCTAGTTAGGAGACATGGTAGTGTCTCGACGTTAAGAGGAATGATATCATAGCATTTTAATAACAATAAATGTCATTAAGTATAATCACTGGGAACAAAAACTTGTTCATTGGACTTAATTAATTTAGTTGTCTTGATTTCATTCGTTGAAAAATATATGTAATGCCTAATTTCTTCACCTCTAGATAACTTTATCCAAGAAATATCTCTCAGAATACAATGGAGATATTTCCTGGATAAGGTTATCCGCAACTTATCTGGAAGTGAAGAAATTGGGCATAAGTCAAATATAACATGTTTGATTTAAATACGTACATTCTTCATCAGAAAAAAATAAAAATTAAATTAATTTAGTCAAATAAACAATTTTTTTCTCAGTGTACAGACTGCATGGACGAACAAAATTCAAAATGTTGCTCGATTTTAAAAGCTTAAATTTAAAAAGCCTTTTCGAATAATCGTAAGACAAACAGGAAGATAGATTCTCTCCGAAAGGAAGATCGCGACCAATCGCGAAATCACAACTGAGGTTTCATCTGTGAGACTTCGACATGAAGGAACGACACACATGTATGATAGTACAGAATAAAACTTAATCTTGAAACGAATAATCAGATGATCAACCTTTCCAAAAGCTATCCGCGAGACATCTTAACTTGTATTAAATAACCTAAATTCATTTTACTTTAAAACAAATATTATCTACATGAATTTGTTAAAATGTTTAAAACAGATACAAAGAAAGTGATAAAATCAATGATAAAGGTTTTTTCACGTTTTAACTGGCCATTTTACAGTGTTGGCAAGTAACGCGTTACTTGTAACGACGTTACTTTGTCGATTGTCACCTTGTCATAATAACGATTTAATGACATTGTGAATTTTTTATAACATTAATGCTAACATCAGAGTTAGAAAAGTCAATCGTTACTTGTAATGGGTTGAAAAAATTCATTACTAAAAAAAATTACCGCTAATTTATAATGCGTTACTTTTTACACGTTACTTGTAATGAGTACTGTTACGCGTTACTCGTTACTTATAACTTTTTTCAGTAAGTAAGAGTTTAAGTACGTAATGGTGACGAATTACTTTTCAAAGTAACTTTTCTAATCTTAGCGTTTAATTAGTTAGCATTACTGTCATAAAAAATTGCAACATCGATATCAAATTGTTTACTATAAAAAATAACGACAAAATAACGTTTGCCGACCTTGCCTATTTTATATAAATGTATATCGTTTAAATTTGGAAATTGTGAAATTATTTGGCTCCTAATCAACAAAAATTTTATTCGTACGTATTAAGATAAAAATAACAGTTTCCACAAAATTATTATACAAAGAAAACTTTTTGTTCTGCGTATACCAGATAAAAGCAATCGTTAAAAGTAATTTTACATTCTAAACGATTCAAGTGAGTATGTCAAAGAAACGCGAATGTGGGCCTAAATTAATAAAGTTCTCGTATTTATGATTTATCGTAAAATGAATCATTTAAATTATTAAAATCATGAATCATTAGGCATAAATCTTTGACCATTAAATAATATATACTAAATTAAAAGTAATATGTACTGAATGATATGTATATTTGCCGTAATCACGCAAGATAAACTATAATCTTACGTGTAATTGCCAAATTTATATTTTAATGACGAAGCGCTATGTTGAATTTAACAAACACTTTAATATCACACAAATTAAATAATATTTGACTACGTGTTTTTTATTTGCAGACATTCACTTTTTACTGACGAATTATTTGCACTTATGTAAATTTGTTGCACTTATACGTTCCCGCGTTACAAACATTTGCGAAGTAATCAGCTACGTTGATTTCGCATCCTAAAAGAGATATAACTACCTTAAATAGTTTGAGAAATCTGAGATGGCATTGCAATTTCGACCATCACACTGATTGTGAGCATCCGTTCGACGGTTCGCGTGCAACTGTCAAGAGACAGAGCGCGACAACTTTGTCGTTTTTTCTGCTGGAAGAGGAAACAATGTAGTTGCGCAATATTTTGAATTCAAGTTTAGATTAGATCGTTTATATAATGATATTGTATTTTTAAAAAGCCACGTTTCTCACTTTTAACACAAATGAAATTTTTTTCTTCAAATAAAAAGTCTAATTTATTTTAATGGAGATTTGAGAAATTAACTAACATTCAATCCTCTTACTCTTAAATAAATTAGTCAGCTTTTTTATGTTAAGTCTTTCATAAAATAGAGATATTGTTAAATTTATTATTTCTAATATAGAATATACAATATATTCACGAATTAATTTGAGATTTACGTGCTACAATTTACTTTGCCAAAACATATTTCAATTTCAGTATACTTAATGACAAATTTCATATGCATAGAAGAAACTGATATTTGTTATTACATAACTTAACAAAAATTTATAATAATAATATCTTATAAAAACATAGAAATGCAGAACCCAAAAGATATAAAAATTATTATAAGTTTCCCAAAAACAATTTATATCATAATCTTACTTTTTATAATTACTTATAAAATCTTATAATTAAATTAAGTGCGTAGCTCATATATTATGTTAATATTCAAATCTCAACGTTCAAAACTAAATGATTTAATATTTCATAAGAAAGACTACTCTTTAATTTCTTATTATATGTATAATAAAAGCACTTTTTAAATGTATTTTTTAAGATCTATATAATAATTTGCTTCCTTTTAACTAAGAACAACAAATTCTTTTTTTATGCAACGCTTTGGCAGTAAACTTAATACAAAAAGCTGTACTTTTAATCGATTTTTAACAATAGATGAGTAAAATAATATAGTAAAATATTAAAAAATAAAAAATAATATAAATACGAGTAAAATATAAATGAAATATAAATAATAATATAATATCCGTTTATTAAAAGTTTGAATTTATATTATAACCTAATTTTTACTTTTTATTATTACATTCACATTTATCTCAATTTAATAAAATTATCAAAATACATCAATTTTAAACAATACTTACAAAATCATTTAATATGACGTTTATATACTTACCGTAAAGTAGGACCATGATATAAATAAATATACACACTGCTTTATATTACAATAATAGACTAAATAGCTCTATATTGATTTTATTGTAGTTATTCAAATTAGTAGGTGTAATTAAAGAATCATTCTTTCTTCACATTAACTTAGTTTAAAAAGTTTATTTCAAAGTTTTAAAGTTTGAAAATTAATATTAAAAAAGCATATTTTTGTTTCTTTATTAATAAAAAATAAAATAGGTATATGAC